CCCCCCACTTTCAGGTGTCATTGTAACCAGATAATCAATGTGATTCACTTCCCCTCTCAGTGGTCACAATCTTATGGCTGATCGGTATTACATATCCACCTTCCTAGCGATCTTCTGTAACCTACTAATTATGAATTGCTCCTCAACCTTCCGTATGATGGAGTTGAATAGAGTTGAATAGAGTGAGATGTGCTTGTAGTCTTAGGGTGACAATTCTCCTCCGCAGATACAGAGCGATCAGTGTTGTCACCCTAGGACAGGAAGTGCGTCGCTGGCAGGATCACCAGGAGAAAATAAAGGAATAGCAGCCCGAAAACAGGAAAGGAATGCCGCCGTCACATCGGAGGAGCGGTGACAACACCTTTGCATTGGGTTTAGTTACTTGTTAAACACGTGAACTGTGTGTATTTCACGCTCTGTATTTGGCGGTTTGTCCGGAGTTCTGCTTCACCTCTCCGGTATCTGCTGGGTGGAGTGGTCCTTTAATACAGCCGTCCAGCGCCGCGTTCCGCCTGCTACCGCACTCTACCGCGTACGGCTAATGAGAAAATCTATTTCTGGATCTCCCGCCTGGGAACAGGGACGCCGCGCTGTGAATCACACATCTCCGCAGAGAGTCGTGTCACTTCATCGCAGATAAGAGTGACGGGATTGAATCCCGCCATCGCCGCCATGGAAATAATACGAGGAACGATGCCGGGGTAATAATCTCGCTACGCGGGGAGCCCGCCGCCGCTGAGCCGTCTCTACAGCACACATTTTATGAATCACTGGCGGTGAAATCAATCGTCACCACGTCGCGTGGGCAGGAAAAACACCACGCCTGCCTCGGCTTTACCAGCTGAAGGATTTGTAGTGCTGTTCAGCTGGTCTAGTGATGTACACGCCTCTGCCGCGCAGGGGTGACACCAATATTAACTTTTGCAGCTTTACAGCTACCTGTGTCACATGGCCGCTCGCCGGATCACGTAGCAATGTAGTGATGACCATTTAAAGCAGGGGTTTCTATCCCATAACGCATTGCAAACTCGTCCACGATCTCCTGCGCGGTCTCATCGTAGTAAACCTTCCAGGCGTCGTCTCCCTTCGCCTCCGGGATCTTCACCACCCCGCTGCCCTGAATGTCCGTCAGGTGATGGAAGAGGTTCTGCAGGAGGAAGAGAGAGAGAGACATTAGAGGAGACTCCATCATCACTAACGTGTCACTGCAACGGGATACAACAGACAACCTCGCCCCTCACCCCCAGCTGCAGTGGAACTACAAGTCCCAGGAGGCATTGCAAGACTAACAGCCACAGGCATGACTCCCAGAGACGTGGTGGGATTTGTAGTTCCATCACAGCTGGAGTGACAAGGTTGCCTACCCCGAGTATAAAAGCTCCACTATACATTAGGGAAAAACCATCCCCTATACTAGATTATAGTGACTGTGCCTAGGCTGAGATGATGTCATCAGTCTGCTGCAGGCAGGAGGAAGCATTTCCTCAGTCTCCCTTCCTCCAGTGATCAGTCTGCTGCAGGCAGGAGGAAGCATTTCCTCAGTCTCCCTTCCTCCAGTGATCAGTCTGCTGCAGGCAGGAGGAAGCATTTCCTCAGTCTCCCTTCCTCCAGTGATCAGTCTGCTGCAGGCAGGAGGAAGCATTTCCTCAGTCTCCCTTCCTCCAGTGATCAGTCTGCTGCAGGCAGGAGGAAGCATTTCCTCAGTCTCCCCTCCCCAGCGATCAGACTGTACACTGTAACTTTGTATACCAGTCACAAGGCGAGAGGCTGCAGCAGGGGCTGATCTGTGTCAGACACATTTCACCCCAACAAGGGCTATATGTATGTGTCCGAGTGGTCATAAAGCTTTGTGAAGCGCCAGGGATGTGACGGATGTGCAGCTTCTACATTCCCACATGTGAAGACAAACCTCGGGATCTATCCCTCCAAAACCTCCCGGTCACCAGAAGAAATAAAACCCGGGAAAGTTCTGGCCTTTCCACCCGCCTTCACATGACATAACTCCCATCACTGGAGTCCCCCCTTAAGAAGCTCCTCATTGTTAATAAAGTTTTTCCTAGATCAATCGCTGAGCCCGGAACGGAGAACGAGCCCATTAGAGGGGACGAGGAAATCATTTCATTCTCTGTAACAAAGTCTTCTCACCAATTAGTTCTTGGCGTTCACTAGAGAGGCCGCTTCCGAGTCACGGCGACATTACACCGCCTGATGAAAGACTCGCCGCGTGTTCATTAATGGTGCCGCCATTGTGATCCCATCCTCCGACGCTCACCGAGAGACTCTAATGAGTCCTGGAGGAGGAGGCCGGTCCCCGGCAATTTACACGCCGCATTACAATAATTTTCATGTCGCCGGCCTCCCAAGGACGCCACTTAGGACCATTAGCGGCAATTTAATCTCGGTGGAGGATTCAATATTGAAAACGTTTGACAGTTTAATATTATCTGGACTTCCTGACGTCCCACCAAACTTGCCGTCTCTGACCATCTCCCGTAGCATGTCTCCCGTCTCTGACCACCTCCTGTAGCATGTCTCCCGTCTCTGACCACCTCCAGTAGCATGTCTCCCGTCTCTGACTACCTCCAGTAGCATGTATCCCGTCTCTGACCACCTCCCGTAGCATGTCTCCCGTCTCTGACCACCTCCAGTAGCATGTCTCCCGTCTCTCACCATCTCCCGTAGCATGTCTGCAGTCTCTGACCATCTCCTGTACTATGTCTCCAGTCTCTGACCATCTCCTGTACTATGTCTGCAGTCTCTGACCATCTCCTGTACTATGTCTCCAGTCTTAGAGTTTTTTGTACCATTACATTACAGAATATTATGTTTTCATATTTTGTTTGGTGACGTCAGGGGCCACACTCGAGGGGCCTCTGTAATATTTAAGCCGACCACCTCTGTTCTAGGTCTTCTCCCTGGATCAGCCACCTCCAGTGTAATCAGAAGTTAGCAGCCAGTTCCATTCTATCCCTTCAGAAGACCTCCGAGTGACCAGCTGGGCATTGAAGGGCGCCGGATGTCCCTCCAATACACAGAGGTGCGGGTGTCATGAACATGATAGCGGTGCGATGGCGTGCGGCATTTTAGACACAAAGGACGAGCGGAGTCGTCTCTGACCTTGAGTCGTGCCGCGTGTACGGTAATATAATTCCACACCGGACGACCTTCACAAGGCGTACGCGCTGCTCGGCATGTATGATGAATCCCTCATGTATAGGGCGCGTCTCCCATCAGATATACACCAATTATCCTCCGTGTCCTCTATGAACTGTTACCGGAAGGATGGGAAGCCCTTCAGGAGTCTCCTAAACACCGCTCACGACTTCGGCTTGGAGGAAAAGTCTCCAGTACAGAGCCGGGGACAGAAAGATGTCTTTATACAGAGAATGTGAAAAGCCGGACCGGTCCGATGGGTAGCAATGTGTTCACAACTGTGACCACACTGACCAATGAGAGGAGCTTCTGCAGCTGGGACAAGGTCCCAGAAGCACTTCTCATTGGTCAGTGTGGTCACCTGGCCTTGCACGTCCAGGGGGTGTTATTCATGACATCCTGCGCTCACAGGAAATGGGTTGAATGATGCTGACCATCCGTCAACCCAGAATAGGACTGACCCTGGATGTCATCAATTCTGCAGGGGGCAGCGATGGGGACAAGGTGAGCAGGACATATATGGACTTATTGGAGAGGTGTAAGACACATTCATGGACCTAAAAGAGAAGAGTAAGACAAATGTGGAGATGTAATAGAAGTGTAGGACATACAGTGTGTAGACCTATGAGAGAAGAGCAGGACATATGTGGACCTGTAAGACAAGAGCAGGACATATGTGGACCTGTAAGACAAGAGCAGGACATATGTGGACCTATGAGAAGAGCAGGACATATGTGGACCTATGAGAAGAGCAGGACATATTTGGACCTATGAGAAGAGCAGGACATATGTGGACCTATGAGAAGAGCAGGACATATGTGGACCTATGTGAAAAGCAGTACATATATGGACCTATGAGAAGAGCAGGACATATATGGACCTATAAGAGAAGAGCAGGACATATATGGACCTATGAGAGAAGAGTAGGACATATATATGGACCTATGAGAGAAGAGTAGGACATATATGGAACTATGAGAAGATTAGGACATATATGGACCTATAAGAGAAGAGTAGGACACATGTGGACCTATGAGAAGAGGAGGACATATATGGACCTATAAGAGAAGAGTAGGCACATGAGGAGGGGCATAAGAGATCCTAAGATTATGAATTTCCCCCAGAATCTCACAATAACATACATATGAGTTCCTAGGAATTTATGCTAAAAATTCCCAAATTAACATAAGAAAACCTTACAGTAAAATAATTAAACCAGCAATCTGAAACCCCCCCCAGACTTGGACCGCCTTAGATCCCAGCCACTACCACCATTCCATGCAGCTCACCTCATGGAGACACGTGTACTGAACGTGGTACGGGGCCACTTTCTCTTCTCCCTTTATCTCCACGCTGATCTGTAGGCGGATGGCCCCCGAGACGGCGGACTTGTCCGTTCTTTTCTCTGGAGAGAGGAATCAGAGATCAGAATTGGTTCATTGGTTAATGTGCCCGCAGACGGTTTTACCAGGAAAACCTCAAACTTGGATGGCGGCAAAGGGAACCAAAACCAGAAAACATTGGCTAACACCCATCAGCCATGCATCATCACACTGCTTTGTACCAGGGGCTCTGGCCAATCAGAGCACTCTGTAATTAAGGTTTTAGGGTAAGCACTAGGAGGGGGTTCACGTCGGTGCGGCAATGGATCTGACTCTGGGGCACCCAAGGGTTAAGTCTCGGGGATAATGCCTTCTGCAGAATTACATTTAGTGTCGGCATCGGAGATGAAATAATTCATGAAGCTAAAACATCTCATTAGGAAGTTGTGGAGCTCATTCCGCGCCTGACAGCAGCCGAGGATTCTGGGTGTCTCAGCGCGGATGACAACACAGAGCTCTCCCGTAAAAAGCTCCCTAATGAGCAGATGAATGGTGCCGGGACCGGGGATTGTTTCTCATTATCGGGATCGCTGGTGACAGAATGACTCCAACGCATGCCGTAGCTGAGGTGACAGCAGGTAATTAAAGCAGCACTCCGAGCACAGCAAACCACTCCGCAGTTATTATAGAATGCTGAATTGCAGTTTACGCAGCGTCACTCATCGATCAGAAGAAATAATAATGAGTCCCCCCTACGTGCCAGAGTCTACCTGCGCTGAGGGGTGGGGGAGGGTTACAACTGGCTGGCGGTGGATGTGCTAGTCTCTGTATTATGATACACGGACAAGAGCACCCACTGCCGCACCAGAGCACCCGCTGCCGCACCGCAGCACCCACTGCCGCGCCAGAGCACCCACTGCCGCACCAGAGCACCCACTGCCGCACCGCAGCACCCACTGCCGCGCCAGAGCACCCACTGCCGCACC